TCTCTCTCTCTCTCTCTCTCTCTCTCTCTCTCTCTCTCTCTCTCTCTCTCTCTCTCGCTCTCGCTCTCTCAGAGGAGCGGAGAGTGGCAAAGACTGCAAGGCGCGCGGAGGAGCGGTGGAGCGCGGAGGAGGAGCGGTGGAGCGTGGAGGAGGAGCGGTGGAGAGCGGAGGGGCGGCGGAAGTCAGGGGGAGAGGGCGTAGGAAGCAGGGAGAAATGTAATGACCTGTGTCTGCCATCTTCGACAAGCGTTGAGACTTCGTTGATGCAGAACTCCGAAAGGTCAACCACAGGCCACCGATCCAACCATGGCCAACCCAACGGCCAACCACAGGCGAGCGAGAGAGAGAGAGCCACAGCTTACAGCACCAACGACCAACCACAGGCGAGCGAGCGAGAGAGAGCCACAACCTACATCACCAACGGCCAACCACAGTAGAGAGAGAGAGAGAGAGAGAGAGAGCGTTCCACAACAGGGCGCTTCAAAACAACAGCACGGCGCTCTTCACGACAACAGCAGAATACATACAACGGATGCACGACAACGTTAAGTCCAACGGGAAAGTTGGGTTGGCCTGCCGTCGTGAAGCGCCCTTGACTCTGGTAGCACCGCACGACACTTGATCGGTAGTACCCCACGACACTCCACAACGTCGTCGATCCGGACCGACGCCCTGGATCTCGGCGCGGTACTAAGATCTTAAGACCGCATCTATCCAAGCCGTCGGTCTGGTAGGACCCGACGGCCCAAATCGCAGATTTGTTACATGGTTAGGTCGATCTGGGCCGTGGGCCGGTAGGACCGACGACGGCCCAGATCGGCGATTTGTTACATACTACAGGATTAGCAATTTCTATAGTGTAGGGATGGTTGGATCTTCCAACTCTGGTGGTGCTTTTGCGAGCACCTCCCAGGGAAACACCTCGGGCGAGTAGGAGTTTTAGCCGGTCCTACTAGTGCTGGAGTGGTTACCTTACCTTCTCCATTTCAGACGATGGCCAGGCTTGGTGAACATTTCGTGGTAGAAGTCGATACCTTACCTTCTCCATTTCAGACGATGGCCAGGCTTGGTGAACATTTCGTGGTAGAAGTCGATGTAGGTGCCCGAAAGGTTGGTGCCTTCGCAGACATAGGCTCTATGTGGAACTTCATCAGTGTGCTTGTGTGGATAGGCTCCGCTAAGAGGACCAAGCGCAGCGGCTTAGCAGATTTGTAGCATCTACCTTCGCCAACAAGCACTCGATGATAATCAGAGACTGTGTCAAGGACGTAGTCTGCACCTTCTCCTATGGAGGAGGGGAATTGAGACTCAAGATCTCGTTCCGAGTTAGCAATGAGCTGCCTTTGACATGTTGTTAGGCGTGTACTACCTCCAGGTTGCTAAGCCTCAGTTCGATTAGGATCGGAAGGTAATGATCCACACGTTGCCAAATGGAAGGACTGTTAAGCTGCCAAAAGTTTAAGGCTAGCAAACTATTGGAGAACTATGCTTGCATGTGGGCATCGTCTTTCT